GTGGATGTGGATGTGGATGTGCTTGAGGATGGGACAACTACCTTGTGCTTGGGGCACTGAAAAGAAGTTGTCGCTCAGCGCGTTGATATTTATTGATACTGACAATGAACTCTGCCTTGTGCTGTGGCAACTCCTCCTCCTGCATATCCTCCTCCTCCTCCTACTTCTCTCCTTCTGCTCCTGCTGCTGCTGTTCGTCGGCTGAAGATGACAAGTTATGCAAATCGTGGAGACACCAAGATCAAAATAAACTGTACGCATGCAGCAGCCGAGCCGAGTGGGCAGAGGACATGAGGACAAGGTCATGGGCCCTGTCCGAAACGAGTGCAAAAGTGAAAGATTGATGGCGAAATTACTTGAAATGTTTGTACGAGGCAAACTTATAGATGTGGCTGGCTGTACGGCAGCCGCATCTGCTGGGACGGTGTGCTCAGCTCTGTCCAGCTGCACAGCTCATCCATGACGCTGCAAAGCGCAAACGTAAACAAGGCAGCGACTTAGACAAATGTCGCGACGTCTCTGGCCAACTCGGTTGATCAATCTGCAACGCCTACCCGAAATGCTAAAGCGAAGACGCCAAACCTGTCTGTGGCTCAGTTTAAAGTCATGGACCACTTGGGCTCTTGCCTACTTTGTAGCTCTGAAGCACCACTGTCCAGGGCCTTGGCTTTGGCTTTGGCTATGGCTATGGCCATGTGACCATCAACTTGTCGCAGTGCCGGCCTCGACGACTGGGTTGGGCCTGCCTTCAATCAGTCGAACGCAATTCGAGTTGACAACATGTCGCAAATGCGTGCGGCGGGGCGACCCAAGAGATGCAGGGGGCAGTGCCTGCTCTTCTTGCTCCTCTTGTGCTGGGTATGTTACAACATGGTACACTCTTATGATTATATAGATTATATTGCCCTGCCTTGTCTTACCTCGACTTGACTCGACTCGACTCGCATGCGTCGTCGTCCTTCGCCGCGCTCACTCAGCCGCATGTAATCCGCGTGGCTGCATGCAACGTCGGGCAGCTTGTTGTTGCAACTGCGGCACGGCGGACGGGCGTGATTGAAAGATTGAGTGCCAGGCACAATTAAAGTTCTGTATGATGTATGTACACATGGCAATTGTCGCAATCCCAATTTGGCTTGGGGTTTGTCAAAGCAAATGCCTTGGAACAGGTGCCGATCCGAGTGCTTGAACAGCATTTAGGATCGGCTAATGGCCAAGGTGCGATATGGGCTGACACATTGAGTTAACTATGAAATTGATTGGTTGCCCAGCTCGATTATGTTCAATGCTTATGAGAATTGCAGAGAAGGGCACTCTTTAGGGTTACTCACTGGAATATTGGGCTAGCATTTATGTAATGATATATGATTATGAGAATCGCATAGTGGGCATCAGCTGTTGACTTAAGAGAATGTTCATATGCGTATGTGGAAGCTAACTTGCATGTGCATGTACATGAGCGCATATGCATGCACACATGTTGAATAGCACGCATGCAGCTAGTTTCCCTTGTGTATCGATCAGTCACTGAAGTTGTTTGGAAAGTCTTTTCTTTTATTTTCAATATCTATATAAATATAAATATTTTCTATATAGATGCTTAACTTGAAGATAAAGTTAAGTATTTCTCCAGCGGCGTTTACATTTCCTCACATGCGAGCTGATGTTTGGCAGAAAGAAATCATAAAATACATTCAGCATCTGGGCCGCTATCAAACGCTTTTCAATGGCCTTCAGCGCGCACCTGTCCACACGGTAATCGCCGCGTATGCGATGCAGGGGCAGGTGCAAGGCTTAAGGGAGGGGAGGCGGGGCACGATGCTGCAACAAGTTGTACATGGCGGAAATGCGTTAAGATACGACTTTAGGTGACTGTGTGTGTGTGTGTGTGTGTGTGCATAACAGATACATTAGGTGGCATAAAAGACCGGCTTATTGACATGATAATAAAATGCTCAGCAATCAAAATAATGCAAGACTTGCTGGCAAACGTATAGAAAAGCGGGGAAAATGCATAATAGAAAAAGGTGAGCTGCGAAAATTTGCAGTAATTTGAGATTACGTTTGGCATTACGAGTATTATGAAAGCCTGCCGCATGCCGTTTGCCGCATGCCAAAAACGTTGCCTCGGCTCAAAAGATGATGCCGCAGACAGTCAGACAAAGGCCGCAGCTGTTAATGAATGGCACTGGCCATTGTTGGTAATGGAGTGTTTGGGCCATAATGCCACAGCTATAGCTACGGTTATGGCCAGAGTCACGGTTATGGTCAACAACAAAAGGCCAAGGCGACGCTGACGACGTTGTCGTTGACACTGCGCAGATAAGCGCGATAAGAAAAGTCCAAGCTGTCGAATTTAACGCCATCTTGGCCAAAATAGCCCGAGCTGATGCCAATTTTCTTGGCCAGGCGATGGGCTGGGAAAGGGGAGCCAGCAGCCAGGCAGCAATTAGACATGGCCAACGTCCAGGCCGCAATTCAGTGCCTAATGCCGCATTATTAAGCGTCATAATATAATAAAAGCTGCGAGTGAAAGGCAGCTGTAAATATATAAAAATGTATATAAACATATATATGTACAACTATATATACTTATATAGCCAATAAGGAAGCCAAATTTAAAAATATAAAACTTCTTTAGAAAGTTGTAATAAAAAAAAAAAATGATTTAATGTTGAAAGAATTAAAAAAAAAAATTAAAATATGACGTGGAAAATCATTATATGTAATAAAAAATTTTATTACAAAAAAAACTCGAAACTATATATAGCATATTATATTTGATTATATTAAAAATTATTAACAAAACTGGGAAAGCTGGGGAAAAAATAAATTGTATTAAGAACGTTATGATAAAATACAGAGTTACAGAGTTACTTAACTACCATACTGCTATTCAGAAGCCAAACTCTCTAAACTTCATATCTAAGAGTTATATATGATACAGAATATGTCCTGTATATAGACTGCAGAACTCTTCAAAGATCGCACTAAATCGGAATAATTTCTATATCTGAGTTATTCGAACTATTAGCTCGGCTTTTTAACACATCTGACTTAATGCCTTACGATCTGGTCTTAAGATCATATCCTGAATGTTCACACATTGTGTTTGAGTCGCCTAAGGCGCAAAGGGCTTAAAGCAAAGCTAATGTTGTCTGCTTGTGGGCAAATATTTGTCTTTGATTTAAGCCGTAGCTGGAGTTGAACGGCTCGGACTTGGACTTTTGACCAATGCCCACTGGCCATTGTCTTGGCTGCGGCTGTGGGTAGAGAGGAAGCTAGGCCATGCCAAAATGACATGCTAGACAGAAATCATGATTTGTTAGCCAAGAGTCGTAGCTCGGGAGTTTCGGAGTTTCCAGTGTCGAGTCTCGAGTCTCGAGTCTTGTAGCTCGGGTCTCGTTTACAGCTGCGCTTTCAGCGTCAACAATGAAATTGTCAAGTGTTGACAAATAAATTTGAGGATTCGAGGAGATTTACTTATGCTAATGAAAGACACTTGTCACACAAATATCTACACACACACACACACACAAACAGGCCAGCTCTCTCTCTCACCCAGTCGCTTGGCCATGCGGCATCTTCTTTAAGTTTGTCGACAACGTTGGCTTGCATAAATACAGAGCCGGAGTTGGAGCTGGGAGCTGCAGTTGGAGCTGCGAAATAGCAAAAGTACCGTAACAAATTGCCAAGTTAAAGAATTTGACGAGAGATGCAAAATGAGCGAGAAAGAGTTGTTCGTGGAATGGGCATGAAAATGGTAAATGAAAATGTGTATGGAAATATGGAAATGGAAATGGAAATAGAAATGGCAATGGGAACGGGAATGGGAATGGGTGTTGGGACAGTCATAGAACATGCGCTGCATAAATATTTATGAGTGCTCAAGGATTTCCTAGTTCCTGCTCATATAGAGAGAAGAAGAAGAGTTTAGACTTGCTGCACATTGACCCTTGCTATACGTATATTTATTATCAGTCAGGTACGCGGCTCATTAAAGTCCGAATTTCACACGATCATCAAATTGACGCCTTTATATGGCCCGATCCGAGCTGAAAATCCTTTGGCCAGGTAACAACAATGTCTACGTGTTATAAAAGCAGCTCTCCAACATTGTAATGAACTGAAAATATCTTCAGCTGCATCGCTGAAGCTGTGAGTTCAGCTAGATAAAACAATAAATCTCTAAACTATAACCGCTAAATTGCACTCACTCGAACTTACACACACTCTATCTGCATCTCGCTCGCACGCGCTCTTTGAGTGTTGGCAGCATAATTGAGTAATTAAGCGCAATGCGCTCGCAACATAACGAAACCTGTTTACGCTCAACACACTCAAAGCAGAAGAAACGACGCCGGCAGAGCCGACGGCAGCGACGGCCAAACAGGTTTGTGAGCGAGCGAGTCGGAACGACGCGAATTGAAACGAACTTACGCAAAAGTAGCCGAACTGGTTGGCGAGTCAGCGTCGGTTCGATTGCAACGGGGTTGCAGTCGAACCGTGAGTGAGAAGCGCTCAACTGAGTGCAGCGCAGCGGCGACCGAGCGCTTGAGTGAAACGACGCGCTGCGTTTGGAGTCAGTTGATTTTAGGCGCTCGTACGACAAAATTCGGTGCGGCCGCTCGTTTTGTTCTTTCGTCTTTCGTTCGTCTTTCGCACATGACGACAAAATTCGCAAATTCCGTAATACAAAAAGAAATAAACAAAAATTGATCGAGAATTTTGAAGAAAATCAATCAGAAATTCACGAAAAATTATGAATCTTATGTTTGTGTGTTGTGCCTAGAAGTGCCTCTCGCTCCCGCTGCCTAAAAAGTCTCAGTAACAAATTGCATTTACAGTTAAAATAGATTTAGAATTTGATAAAGTGCCAAAGTTTTAGTTGGTGCAACAGGATACGATTTGTTGCATCCGCTATTCAACAGTGCAAATTGATAACAAAGTGCAAATTTCGTTATAATACAAATTAAATATAAATAAAAATTGAAAAATAAATAATTAAATAAGAAAAGTAAAAAAAGAAGAAAATTTCTAGTGCTGTCAATTGGACGCGACGCCTGCGCAGCTGCCAATTCTAATTGGATATTTTGCAAAGCGGAAACGGAAGCGTCTGCACGCCATTTGCTAAAAGGAGGTAAATATAAGAGTGACTTTCAAATCTAATTATACACAGTTCTAATTGGATATATGTGTCGTCTATTCTAATTAGATGCATTTGGCAGTGTGCTGCTCTTTCCTTTGCTATTGCTTTTGTTTTTGTTTTGATTTTGCTTTTGTTTTGGCTGGCTTTCGCTTATCTAGCCATGTATCTCGCTCGCTGTTAGCCTGGTTTTATAATATCCATGATTAAATTTGACAGTTGACAACTTTTCTCTGCTTGTCTGCCATTTAAGTGTCTCTGTGTTTGTGTATGTGTGTGTGAGTGTGTGTTAGTGTTAATGTTTATGTTTGTTTGCATTTTGTATAAATTGACAATTCAACTGGCATTTTACAAGCATCACAAACATACACACACACACTCACACGCATGGCATTGAAACAATGTGTTAGTGTGTCTGTTTACTTTACAAGCTACTTAATGTTGGCTTAAATATAAACATTATATATTCATGTACTTCAACTGGAGCAACAACTATTATAATGTGACAAAACATTTAGCCCACTCTGCAAGGGCGTGGCCTCTCACTGTTGTTTGTTATTGTGTTTTTTTTTTTTTGTAATTTGTTTCTTTTGGCAGTGCAAAACTTTGACTTTCTATGACATTTCAGGTGAGTCAAAGGTTTGCACCGTCAGCTGTTGAATGTTTCAACGTGAACTCTTCTAAACTTCTTTCGTTCTTTGTTGAGAAAGTAAGTTTGAATGAAGAATGTAATTTAATATAAATGTGTGGCTATGATATGATAGTTGTTTGCTTGATTAGTTTGAAATGCCTGAAATGTCTGGCAGACAATGAAAATTCGTATAAAAAATGATATTTATTCTTTTTGTCAATCGAATTTATTTGCAATATACATACAGATATCGTGTGACAAAAATACAAAAATAGATTTATTTCTATACAATTTGACTATTGTCTTGGAATCAACAATTCAAATAATAGTATATATATATACATATATGGCTGTATATATAGCTACATATTTCTTGGCGGATGAGTTCTCCAGGTAGCTCTCTTAGACAACTTAATAATTAAGATCCGGCTTTGTATAATGTTTTTAYTGTTGTCGTAGGCAAAGGGTTCATTTGCAAGACTTGCTTTACTACAATAATAATAATAGTCTGATAGCCATTACAAGTGTATAATATTCTGGATTAGAGTAAAAAAAAAATAGCAATATAATAA